CTCTTTTAGCTATTTTGAAATATATAATAAGTTGCTAAATATAGTCACCCTATTTTTGAGAAATGTCTATTCAGGATCTTTGCTCATTTTTAAGTCATGTCTCTGGTTTTCTTACTATTGAGTTGTTTGAGTTTCTTACATATTTTTGATATTAACTTCTTATCAGGATGTACGGTTTGCAAATATTTTCTGTTATTCAATAGGTTGTCTCTTCGTTTTGTCGTTTTCCTTTGCTATGCAGAATGTTTTCAGCTTGGTGTATTCCCATCTGTCTGTTTTTTTTGTTTTGTTTTGTTTTTTTCAGTTTTTTCACCTGCGCTTTGGGGATCATATCCAAAAAGTCCTTGTCCAGACCAATGACATGGAGCTTTCCTCATATGTTTTATTCTACTAATTTTGTAGTTTGTGACTCTACACTTACGTCTTTGTTTCATTTTAAATTAGTTTGTGTATATATATATGAGATAAGGGCCTAATTTCATTCTTCTGTATATGTATATCTAGTTCTTCCAACACCATTTATTTAAGAGACTCTCCTTTTCCTATTGTGTGTTTATGGCAGTGGTACTGGCATCGTTTGATTGCCTTTAAAAAATTTAGGTTGATATCTTCCTGGTTCTCGGTATAATGAATAATTTCTTTATTGAAATTTGGACATTTTCATATTATAAGATGATGGATCTTATATAAAACTTCTTAGCTTTCTCTGATACCAATACAGAAGGAGAAAGTTGGGGCTATTTTATGACAGCAGGTCAAGGTATAATTCTCATTTCTTATTTCCCTTAACTGACACACAAGAGAAAGGGAGTACTCTTCTTTCTAAGCGGGAGTGGGTGGTCTTGTTAACCCTGGGTGCTGCTGCAAGTCTCTGCTTTCCACTAGGCCTTCTCCAACACTTTCCCAGCAGGTGATGGTATGAGGTGATGTTGCAAATTCAGGCTTTCCACTGATGGTAGTGACGGAGGAGTGGGAAGGAGAGGGGATGTCCTCGACAGCAGGGACAAAAGTTCCAGCTTCCTACTTGGCCCTCTTTACATTGCCAGTAGAGGTTTTGTAGTACCTCTTTACAGCTTCGCTACATTGGAAATCTTGGCTCCCTGCTCAGCTTTTGCTGGCATGTGGGTGAGGCTACAGTTTTTTCTTTTTTTTTTTTTTTTCAGTGTTTAGTTGTAGTACAGTGGTTATCATCTGAAAGTTTTCTCTTGCTAGGATGCTCCTTTCCTGGTCCTTTGACTAAAAGGTTTTGTTGGGATCTTTTTTTTTTTTTTCATCTGAACTTGTTGACATATCTGGGTTGCAAGCTTCCTCAGCTCCACATTTGTGATACGTGAGGCAAAACTCAGAGGACTCACCACCATATTGTCCCTTGAGTCTCAAGGTCCCTAGCAAGTCTAAGTTTTCTTTACCTTTAGCAATCTTATGTTTGTTTTACACATACTCTCCAAACGTTTTAGTTGCAGTTAGTGGGAAGAATAAGGAAAAATAATCTACTCTACCTTCTCTGAAGTGGCACTTCTGGTAGTAGTTTCCAATACAGTATCTGCTTTCTCCTTCTCACCAGGAAAACCCCATTTTCTGGTGGGAGGCAATGTGCCAAGTTAGAAATATTCATGTCCCTGGATTTCTTTGCCTTTAAAGGCGGCCATGCAATCAAGCTTTGGTCCATGATAAAACAGCCACAATCTACTGGGTAAGACATCTGGAAAAACTATTATTCTTCTAATAAAACAGAAAGATGGAGGGCCATGTTTTTTTTCTCTTCACCTTTCCCTGCTTCTTTTGGTCTGACATGGGGAATGATGCTTGGAATTTTAACAGCCAAGCGAGCAAACTACATGCTAAGATTGGTGGAGCAGGAAGCTAAAAGGAGACTGTGTCCTCCATCAACTCCTTTTACAGCTGTGTTAGCATCAAGCTTTCTACCTAAGGAGAGTTTATTATGTAAGAAGAAAACAAAGCAAAACCAAATTCTGTTCTTTTAAGCTACGCTAGTTCTGTGCTCCATGCCAGCTGACTTTTGTTGTGCTCACTAAACAGCATCCTAACAGTTATCCACTCTGCTGTCTTTCACTTGATTTTGGAATCAAGCTAACTTTCATTTCACCTTCAGCTCAAGGCCACTTCCACTAGGATGACTCTCATGTTCTTACCATAAAAGAGAAGTTCTGTTCAACTGTCCTAGCCAAGTGCCGCCCACCTTTGTGCCTCATCTGAATGCAGTGTTTAATTTATGATTCTGTCTTCTTCACTAACTAACTTCTTAAGGTCAGACATTATGCTTGGTATCAGGTGTAGGCCTGGAACTTCTTAGCTACACAATAAAAGGCTCTCAAAAAAAAAGATATATATATATATATATATATATATATATATAAAATTTGTAGTGTATTATTGCTATTTGTGTTTGTTATGTGAAACTATTTTTCAAGAAATAAGCTCATAGAATATGGCTGTGTTGGCATATTTTACTTTTCTCAGCACTCTTGGAAATAGCTGAGATACTGGACAGGAATTATTGCCAGAGTTATATTAAATAGATTTAATTAAAACAACATTAATTCATTTCTTCTTTATGAAATTGGCAAGCCCTCTCTTCCCATGGTGCCAAATTTTGGATATATATGTATTTTGTATCTAGAAACTAGTTTACAGAGCCTGAAGGTGTGGGAGAGCTTCCTGGACAGATTTTCTAAATGTTCTGCCTCCCTAAAGTTCTTATGTGATAAATGGAATTGTCCTTCTGGGATCCATTTTGGAATCACTAAGTGCTCACAGTTTGGCTGCCTGAGTGATGCTAGGACGCCTTTATGACCATCCCAAACCCTCATGATTTTACTGGAGAAGGAGTGAACTACTTTTCCTTACTGCTGAAGTCCTCATCTTTTATTTCTATTATTAGAGACTACTTCCCATTTCACCCCTCCTTTAACTCCTGGATTGGTTTGTTTGAGAAGATAAAATGATCCTAAGGGATACCTCAAGTCTGGCCGCTCTCTAAAGGCAGTAACAATAACTCTCAGAACACGTTTTCTAGAACACCCTGAGGCAGGGTGAGGGACGAGGGAGGCTTCTGAAGTAGAGCATGGAAAGAGTGAAGGAATGGCCAGTCGGCTAATGTTTGCCTCCTCTTTTCTTGATTGTCATGTGTGGGTCCCATTAGTGTTTGTATTTTCTTTAAGAGGCATGGAATACACAAAGTATGTCCATATAAGATTGTGAACTTCATTGGTAAATGTGTGTGTTCTGACTGCTCCACAAACTAACTGGTCACGCCTGAATGTCCCTATTCCCTGAGACATAGTAACATTAAAGTTAGGCTAACGAATATCCCTACACTGGCCTCTAAGTGTTCAAGTGAAAAAAAGAGCCACATGCCTCTCACTTTAAATTAAAAGGTAAAAATGATTACACTTAGTGAAGTGAGCATGTTGAAAGGTGAGATAGGCTGAAAGCTAGGCCTCTTGTACAAGACAGAGAAGTTGTGAATGCAAAGCAAAAGGTCTTGAAGGAAATTAAAAATGCTACTTGAATGAACACAAGAATGATAAGAGAGTGAAAAAGGCTTATTGCTAATATGGATAAAGTTTGAGGGATCTGAATAGAAAATCAAACCAGCCACAATTTTCCCTTAAGCCAGAGCATAATCCAGAGCCAGGTCCTAGCTATTTTCAATTTTATGAAGGCTGAGAGAGGTGAGGAAGCTGCAGAAAAAAGTTTGGAGCTAGCAGGGGTTGGTTCATGAAGTTTAAAAAAAGAAGCTGTCTCTATAAGATAAAATAGCAAGGTGAAGCAGCAAGTGCACCTGGAGAAATTGCAGCAAGTTATCCGAAGATCTAGCTAAGATAATGGATGAAGATGACCACATTAAACAACAGATATTCAATGTAGATTTTTTTTTTTTTAAACCTTCTATTGAAAGAAGATGCTGTCTAGCTAGAGAGAAGTCAATGTCTGGCTTCAAAGTTTTAGAAGACAGATTGACTCTTGTTAGGGACCAATGCCATTGGTGATTTTAACTGAAGACAGTTTTAATTTACCATCTTGAAAATTCTAGGACCCTTAAGAATTATGCTACATTTATTCTACCTGTGTTCCTCTAGCAATGGAACAACCACCTGGATGACAGCGCATTTGTTTACAGCATGAGTTACTGGATATTTTAAGTCCACTGTTGAGACCTGCTGCTCAGAAGAAAAGGTCCCTTTCAAAATATTACTTATCATTGACAAGGTACATGGTCATCCAAGAGCTGTGGTGGAAATGTACAAGGAAATTCATGTTTTTTTTTTTTTTTTCCTATACCTGTTAACACCACATCCATTCTGTAGCTCATGGGTCAAGGGGCAATTTTGATATTCTAGTTTATTACATAAAAAATACATTATGTAAGACTATAGCTGCCACAGATAGTGAGTCCTCTGATGAATGTGGGTGAAGTCAATTGAAAATCTCCTAGAAAGAATTCACTATTCTAGATGCCATTAAATACATTTTTAATTCATGGGAGAAGGTAAAAATATGAACATTAACAGGAGTTTGAAAGAAGTTGATTCCAACCCTCATGGATGAATTTGAGGGGTTTAAGGGAGAAGAAGTCACTGCAGATGTGGTAGAAATAGCAAGATAACCAGAATTAGAAGTAGAGACTGAAGATGTGACTGAATTGCTGCAAACTTTCTCATGATAAACTTAAATGCATGAGGATTTTTGTGAGTTGTTTTTTTTTTTTTATAAATGGGCAAAGAAAGTTGTTTGTTGAGATGGAATCTACTTGTGGTAAATATGCTGTGAACATTTTAGAAATTACAACAAAAGATGCAGAATATTACATAACCTTAGATGATAAAGCAGTGAGAGGATTGACCTGATTTTGAAAGAAGTTCTGCTGTGGGTAAAATGCTATCAAAGAACATCACATTCGATAGATAAATCTTTTATTAAAGGAAAAGACAGTTGATACTGAAAACCTCATCTTTTCTTTTTAAAAATTTCCACAGACACTACAGCCTTCAGCAACAACCATTCTGATCAGTCAGCAGCCATCAACATCAAGACAAGACCTTTCACCAGCAAAGATTTCAACTCTCTGAAGGCTCTGATGAGTATTAGCATTTTTTAGTAATAAGATAATTTTTAATTAAGGTAAATGCATTGATTTTAGATATAATGTTTTTGCACACTTAATAGACTACAATGTAGTATAAACATAACTTTTATATGCACTAAGAAGCTAAAAAAGAGTGTGACTTGCTTTGTTTCAATACTTGCCTTTTGTGGTGGTCTGGAGCTGAACTTACAGTATCACCAATATATGCCTATATCTGAATTATATTCAATTATGTCCCCAAAACAGCTATAGTAGGAGATGCGTCTACATGGTTAACAAGTTTAAAATTTAAAACCACAAGCACATTATTATAATAAATCAAATAATAACAGAAGGCTGATAATCAGAAAGAACTATTTTTATTTCACTCCTGTTACTCAGAAGACCACACCTGACTGCAGTGCTGTGAGACCTGAGCAGAAATATTGTGGGATAATAAATGTATGTTGTACTAAGCCACAAGTTTGTGGTAACTTATTACACAGTAATAGAAGGCTTATACGCATAGTAACTTGTTCTTATATTGTGGATGGAATGTCTTCCTCATCATCCCCCTTCGAAGATACTAACAAGAGTTTTCTTTCATTCCCCTCCATTACTTTCATTGGTTCTTTTATTAATTTAGGCTATTTCTTGAGTTAAAAGCTCTCTTCAAATAGAGGTAATTCTTTGTGTTTCTTATGTTTAGATGTGAGACAATAAAGAAGAGATCAGGTACCCAAATGATGCTTGTGACAAGTAAGTTTCCATTTGGGTAGGCAGAAGCAGATATATGGAGATCTTTTCCCTGTTCCTATCGAATTTCTCCAATAGAGATATGTTTGAGCTCTGGCTAAGTGCTAATGACTGGCTACTAGAATTCCATTTGTGAGATGGCCAAGGAAGTCTGAGCACTTGACCATCTTACTGGCTATTATGAAAGAAAGTTTATGGGAAGTCATTCTTTTGGACTAGCCTCTTGCACTTGGCCCCAGCAGACGAGACCAAACCAAAACGGAGTCACTAATGCTAAGTGCAAGGAGGTCCCAAAACAGACCAGTTTTTCCTGAAAGCAGGGAGTTGACACCAACCAATCAGAAAGAACTTATTCTACTTGAGTCAGCATAATAAGAAAATCAGCTCCATTTTAACCCTTACAAAGAAAGTGACCAACAGTGACCTGTTAACCAACTCACTTTTAAAAATTGAGGTTTCCTTAAAAAAAACAACCATTCTATAATGCCCAGTGGAAAACCCATTCTATTTCAGAGAATGAGATGTTGACTGATTTTAGAATTGCTAATAAAAGACAATTAGATTTTTAAACTAAAGTTGTTTTAGTTTTGTCTTTTGACACCATCAATTAATTCCTATAATCAACCCTAGGCCACATTTTTACTAGGACAATCTTCAGTTTCAATATTTCGGAAAGTACACCCCAGATCTCATCTTGCCTAGGAGTAGATATTTGAATGCTAATGTTCTGCGTGTCTGTGCATAGACACTTTATGTATTGACTTGCAACAAACCTTTGCAATGTGAAGCCTCAAAGCTGCTATTTGCTGTACCTATGGCTGGCCTCTGAGACCTTCTCAGGTCTTTGCCATAAATCAATTCTCTTCAATTTTGTGTTTCTTTCGATACACATATTAGATTATAGGACTCACAAATGTTGATGAATAATTACCATTTTAAAAACTGGAAATTAAGAGAACAGAACAGCTAATAGAAAAAAAATAGGATAGGAGTCTAAAAATTGTGTTAAACCATTGTAACTTGGGAACCATCTATATTAAGTGGAACTTTACTAAGATTATTTTTATTCATATGAAATGTTAACTGCTGTTTACATTGCAGAAGCATTTACATTGTAAGGGAGGAGAGAGTTAATTTATTTTATACAATTTAGAATATGAATCTGATAAATATTATTTTACACACTCATGGTTTTGAGAGTATCTACACAATTTTGACTGACACTGGAGAGAATCCGTTGTCACAACTTCTCTCTTCTTTACAGGCCATTGTCTAGCTGTTGTCCAGCCGAAGGAACTTAAGTATTTATCTTAGGGCCTCTTTACCAGTGGCATCCAATGTTTGCCACCAACCATTTTCATTTTTTCATTGCTCATTGCTCCCATCCACCCAAATGGCAGAATTCCTCATTTACAGAAGTGAAGCTGCTCTGCTTATGGAAACTCCCCTACTGAGGAGATAAATATCTCCATATAGAGAGCTCATGTTAATCAGCCCTTAGGTAGGGTTAACATTTCATCATTATAATGGACATACAGACAGCCTCCTCAACTTATGATGAGAGTTACATTCAGATAAACTCAGTGCAAATTAAAAATATCATAAGTTGAAAATCTGTTTAACACACCTAATCTACCAAATGTCATAGTTTAGCCTGGCATACCTTAAACATATTTAGAACACATACATTAGTCTATAATTGGGCAAAATCATCTAACACAAAGCCTATTTTATAATACAGTGTTGAGTAACTCACAAAATATATTAAAGACTGTACTGAAAGTGTAAAACAAAAGGGTTGTATAGGTAGTTGAGGTACAGTTTCTATTAAATGTGTATTGTTTTTGCACCATTGTAAAGTCTAAAAGTAGTAAGTTAAACCATCATAAATTAGGGGCCTTCTGCATTAGGCATTGTCTCTGCCTGCTAGGTGAGGCAGAAGATAAACAAAAGCAAATAAATAAAGTCTTAAAAATGTTGGAAAGGAATCTGGAAAGAAGCAATTTTTTCTATATTAAGAATTCATAAATACATTAATAAAACAAATTCATAGGGGCTATTTTAAGAATGACATAAATGACATCAATATTAGAAATGTGAAAGACTCCTCATGCCCTTAGCCCTAAGTTCTAATGAAAACTACATAAATAATATATATATTATATACATGTGTGCATATATAGAGATAGGAGAGAGAGGCATATATAGGCTAAACTATTACTAAAGTTATATAAATTAATAATGGCATTTTAAATGGAAAGATCATATGAAAAAGGTGGGATTTGAGCAGAATTTAATAATGTGAAATAAGTTACAAACATAGTGTGCTATTGCCCTATTCCTTTTGTGTGTAGATAAAATCTATGTCATCATAACAAAGAACAAGAAAAGGATTGGGTTTATATTCAAAGATTCTGGAGGATATAGAAAAATTGACAATGACTGTTTCTAAATTTACACATAGCTCATCATTATTTCCAAAGAGCTTTTAGACTTTGAGGAAATGTTTATCAAAACTATATGTAAACTGTTCACTTATTTCAACTATGTTTCTGGATTTTTAAAAATATGATTCAGCACTCATATTATTATTGCTTTTCTAGAGGGAAGGGAAAAGCAATTATTATTATTAATATTAGTAATAAAAACAGTTGTGATTGCAGAAAATAAGATCAGTAGAGGCAGCAGAAGTAAAAATCACATTTTATTTATCCATTGGACTCATTACAATATGCCTATTGCAACAGCTTATATGCATGTATAAAAATATAAAAACTAATTATAAGTTAAAATATAAATGCTATAAGAATGCAATAAATATGGGGAGAAGACAAATACATACTACAAAAATATCCTAAATGCCCTTAGCACACTAGGTACTAAGAAAACCAGATTGGATGGTATTTGATGTTATATAATTTTCAAAAATATATTAATTAAGCTTCCCCTATTCCCAAGAAAGAAAAAATATCTAAGCTCTTTCTCCCTTTTTATAAGTGATTTTGAGTTTTTCCTTTTTACATATGCTCAGAGGCATTCTGATGGGTTATTTTGAACATATACTATAAACAAATAGAATGAGATGATACCATGTATTTTTTCATGTGCTGAGAACCAAGCTACTGAAAAAATATGTAACAAAGATATAGTAGCTATTATTTAGTGAAAAGATGAAAAATCTATTTTATCTACAAAATCTATAAAACATTCACTTACATAAGGTGAATTATCTTTTTCACGCAGCTTCGTGTATGTTTCCTCTTCTCTCAGTGACCTGAATAGCAATATCCAGACACCCCAAAGGTGCAAGTTAACGTCATATCAGATGACACTTTATTTCAGAACAATGTAATTTTACTTGTTAGGTTAAAGCTCTTCAAATGCTTGGGCAACTTTGCTAGTGACCTGACAAGCCTCAAATTAGTAATAGAAATAAATTATTTCACATATTACTTTGTTTTTGTTCTTTAATCCCATACTGGAACTGATTTTACAATAGTTGGGCACTTCAAACACAATTGCAGCTGACACCAAAAAAAATGTAAAAAATCATTTATGGAGTCAAATGTGTTTACAACTAATCTTTTGCTTTTCTCTCATTTTATAAATACACAGCAAACAGAGTACATGAGGCCATATGGAATAATGGAAAGTAACTGTAATAAAATTCCTTTAATATGAAAGATTTCTGTTGAGATATTTCTGTTCTTTCTTGCAAAAAATAAATAACATCTCTTGAATAAAAATATTTAATAATTGTTTCCTTATTAATTATTATGGTTTTGGAATGCAGTTAAAATGAATAGCTTGTTAAAGCCACATCACCTGGAAATTAAGGTCCTATTTTGTGTATCTACCATTAGGAATCAATGACCTTTCTCTGCATATTAAAAAAAAGCTATTGCATTAATGACCTGGTAGTTTTTTAAGTATATGAACTATAACTTATTGGAAATTAATTTGCCCAGATATTACTGGCTAATTAACCTTTTATCTTATGATATTTTCCATGTTTGAAAGTAATAGAAATTATTTCCTTAAATATAGTTGCTGTTTTACAAAATCTTATGTAATTCAGAATTTTCCCAGAGCCAGACTAGCCAACAACCCTGTTATTTCAAATTAATGAGTTTTAAAATTAATTTTACTCTTTTATTAATTCTGAAATATTTATGATGCTTTTCATATTCATCAGATCCTGTATATATGTGTTGAGTGGAGCTCAGCCCTTTCTCTCAAAGAAATTTTTGTCTGGTTTGACATACGACAAGTAAATAAACAATTATAAAGCTGTGTGATAAATGCAGTTACAAAGGGGCAAACAAAGCCCAGTGATGTACAGAAGGTGGAAAGTCAGGAATGTATCACAGAGGAATCAACTTTTATACTGAAATTTAAAGGCTGGGTAATTTGGATAAGCAATAGTTAAAAGGGCTTTCTACTCAAAGGAATCATATGCAAAGTCATCAAAAAATCAAAATAGAATTCTGAAGATATTTACATGAAATGATTAAAATTACTTATGAAGTCAAATTGAAATAATATCAGTTAATGTTTACTTAACCCAGACTCTAAGGGCTAAGTTGAGATAAAATTCACATCAGAATTTTGTAGAATTAATGATGAAAGTCTTCTGACATCTTTAATTTAGACCAAAAGTATATCAATATTTCATAATTTATAAATACTTCATAATATAAATGAATGTTCAAAATGGCAACAGAAGGGGAATAGGAGGTTTCAAGTATATAAAATAATAGGAAAGTGGGAAATAAGAAATAAGGCTCACTCTAATTTTTTTTATTACTGCTACACTTTAAGTTCTGGGATACATGTGCAGAACGTGCAGGTTTGTTACATAGGTATACACGTGCCATGGTGGGTTCCTGCACCCATCAACTTGTCGTCTACATTAGGTATTTCTCCTAATGCTATCCACCCCATGATAGGCCCCAGTGTGTGATATTTCCCTCCCTGTGTCCGTGTGCT